CCTTACTTGGTATGCGTATGCCACAAAATAATAGCTGTTAAAAAGCACTGCGATGCGGAGGGGGGAAAGGCAATTCGTGCTACCGATGAGAGGTCTCAGGCTCCGGCTGAAATGGAATTGGGTGGTCGGCAATTTTTTTGCCCCCTAAACAAACACAGCTTGAAACGACTTGGGTGGGCAGAAGGGAACAATTTGTGAGCCAGAGAGCAAGTGAGCTGGGCAGGCAGCCGGCCTGCAACTTACCTGCTGGAGACTTTCACCTGACCTTTAGGTGTCAGGGGGCTTGATTGTGCAGTGCATTACCCCCACGTTCAGGTCAGCTGCTTCAGACTGCGTTCAGCAGAATTAAAACGACAACAATGAAACCCCCAAACTGGAATACCCCCTCCTTTCCAGCCTCTATCACCCCTAGGGAGAATCCAGGAAAACCAACACATTTAGAATCATTAACTCTTAAAATAGCTGAATTTCCTCCGGTAGAAAAAACGCAAATTATTACACTCATGAGTTCAGCATATTTATATATTATACGAATCGATGAATAAACAGGTCATATCACTGCAACCGCCATCCCTCGGAAGGCAAGTGCTCGGATCAGAAAAAACGCCATTGCCGTTTTCCCCAAAACATTCCTGGAATTTATTTACTTGCCAGAACATTTAAGAGGCCGACTTTAATTTCTTTCTTTTATGCTTTTTTAAAAAATAAATATTTAAAATAGGGAGAAAGAAGAATGTTTTCCATCGAACGATAATGCAAAAGTACTGATAGTATCGTCCGTAGCAGAAGAGAATTGTTTAAACAATGTCGGTGCTTGCAAGATTGCCCAGTATAAATACATTTGCAGTGCCTTTTTGATGCGAGTTGCTAGTGGAACTCTTTTCTCCTGTATGTGTTCTGTATATGCATTTTCCCTGTCTGATTTTGTGAAATAGGGCTAAACCCTTTAGGTAGGAGCGGAGGGCACGTCGCTCTGCCAGTCCAGTCGCCCGGGGCCGGGGATGCCCGGCTGCCCGCGGCGCAGGACCGGGCGCAGCCGGCGGGCCGGGAACGGCGCTCACACACCTCGCCCCTGCCAGCGAGGAGCTGCTCGCCGTTTTCCCCAAGCGAGGATTTATGAATGTGCTGGCGGCCAGCGCTTCTAACCTCGCCTTTCAAGGATGAGATGGATTTAAAACTGAATAACGAATTGCAGAAAAATTACTTTATCCCGACGCCATTTCCCACCCCCCAAGCTCTCCGCCGAAGGGGGTGGGACGCTGGTGGAGCACGGAATGCACCGGTGCGAGCTCATTAGCAAAGCAAAGGTTGCAATTAGCGTCTGCTGCCGCGAAGCGACCTCTCCCCCGCCTGCCTCTCCTAGCCCCCATCACCAAATAATTGTAAAGTATCTGTTGATGTTTTTCTTCCACCCGTCAAAACGTTGGAGCCCTGCCTGCTCCAGGGCTCCGTCCTGGGTTTGTTGTGTCTGGAGACAATGCTCCGCCAGCGAACCATCAGAGGTGAAGGGGGGTCACAAGGGGAGGCAGGAGCGCGGCCCTGCGAGCCGACTCGGGGCCTCCCACCCCTGCAAATCTGCCGCCCACAGGCGGGAGGGGCGGCGACCCCCGGCCGGTGCCCCTCTCCCCGCGCTGCCCCGGGGCAGGCCCGAGCACGCCTTCCCGGCTGGGCGAGTAGCGGGAACAGGATGTGACCCTCATGTCCGCTCGGGGGGACGCGGCTGCTTCATGTGCAAGGGGCCGGGAGGAGGTGGCAGCGGGGACTCTTCCATTCCACCAATTTACTCTTAAATTTTATTTTTCTAAATACACTTACAGCAGTCGATGCTTCTCCTAGCGCGACCAGAGCCGGCCGCGGAGCCGCTTCCCACCACCACCCTACCCCGCTGTCCGCATACCCGAGGAGCGGGGCTATCCCCCCTTCAGCCCCCGTTTGCTTTTACCCTTCGGGCTGGCGCTCCGAGCGTCGAGGTGTATTTTTAGACGGCGCTGGCGGTTTTGCTCCGCGACCCCGAGGAAACCCCCGTCGCTTTGTCTCGCCGGCCTTCCGCACCGGGGCCGAGGAGGAGGGTGGCGGGCGGGCCCGGCTGCGTCGCCGGCGGGCCCTGGGGCAGCGCCGACCCCCGGCCCGGCCTGGCCCACTTGCAGGGGTGGTAAGGGCTTGTGTTCCCGTGGGGCCGCCCCACCGTGGGCCGCCGCCGCGCTCCTTGCTGTCTGCGGGGACTCTGCAGCCTAGGAATGGCCAGGTGGCCCTGAGCGCCTCTGAAAGGCCTCAGAAAAAGGAAAAAATAATAATAGTTTAAGAAGGGGCGTTCGTGGCAGTTTTACCTTTGGCAAGACAGGTTCCTGGGGAAAGGCAGCGGCCCGTACGGCGGAGGCGAGGGGCTGAGTTATGGCTGAGAGACGTGGGGCGGCGGCGCTGACAGACGGCGGGCGCGGGGGAGCGAGCCCGGCCGTCGCTGGTCGTAATTCCCGGCGCTGCCGGGCAGGGAGCCGCAGGCAGAGTTGGGCCGGCCTTCCCCACCTCTCCCCAGCCCTCTGCAGCCAGCTGGGCAGGAGCTGGGCCGCTCTCCTCTCCTCCCCCTGCCCATCCGAGCCTCCTGTTCCCGACGGGGCGGACGGCTGGGCAGCCTCCACCACCCCGCGCTGGCATTACTATCCCACTTCTCCCCTTAGCAGCGGTGCAGGGTTGAACCTCTCTGCTTCCCACGGTGCAGTGGGGACAGGCTGCTCGGGCGGGGGCTCCTGACGGGCTCCAAGGCCCGTATTCCCGACCTTGGACAGGGACGGGGCAGGAATGTCCATAAGCTGGACCCGACCACCAACCGGCCTTTCCCCGCCGGTGCCACGCAGTGGATCCGAGAAAGGCTACACCCACCTTGCCTTTTGCTTTGTTCGGTGCTGCTGCTGCGGATGGTGGGACGCTTGTGAAAGACGCGGGAGATTGTAGGCATGCTCGGTTATTTACTACTGAAGCTGCCCTTTTCCATTAATGAAGCTGCAGTGACTCCGTAAGATACTTGAGACAGGCAGCCGGGGGATGTATCTTCTGAACCTGGACACACAAAACGCTTGACGTGCACACTGAACTGATGCACAGAACACAAGTCTGTAATTGCTGTATTAGCTGTATATACTATATAATTTCCCTAAATCGCAGCGTGTTAGGGTTGGTGTGTTTTTTTAAAGTTATTATTTATTTCGTTTTCAAGATGTGATCCCATAGTCAATGCAAAGAGTGCTACTTTAGGAGCAATTAAGAATCAGGCAAGGAAGGTAGCGTTGAGGGAACCGAAAAGCAGTTCAGACCTTTGCCAAATGGTCCAAGGCACCGGAGCAGTGTGCATTTTGTCCTATTACAACCAGTAGTGTGTTTTGTTTTTTTTTTCTTAAAAAGGCAGCAAAAAGCACAGGGCCACCGCAGAGGGACGGCTTGGTCTAGTATCAGTTTTTGCTTTCCCATCCTTTTCCCCTCTCTCTCCCCAGTACAGAGAACGAAAACTGAGAATAAGAACCCTTCTATTGAGCGCACTACACTTAGACATGCCAAAGAAAAAACCCTGAAATCGAAGTTCCCAGGTCTCTGCAGAGTTGTCTAAACTAATATTCAGATGTACCAGCGAGACTCCCAGTGAATCATTTTAGGCAACAAAATAGTTCTCAGCAATACAAAAAATGCGTAGTCATAAAAGCGCTGTGATACTTTTTAAAATTACTGTTATTCTGTGCGCCACCAAAGACCCGCCATCCGCAGCCTGTGACCGCTTGTCCGAGGCGCTGCTAAGGGGGCAGCCCGCGGTGAGGCCGGGCAGGCGGAGCTCGCCCCCTCCCCTCCGCCACCCTCAGCGGCCCCAGGACGGGGAGGTCGGGTCTGGGCACGGGATATCCCTTCTGCCGTGGCGGGCTGTGCGGCGACAGCTCGCAGAGCACAGCCACAGCCACGCGGCCACACACGGGTGGGTGCCCACGGCACAGGGGGCGAGTGCGTACTGCTCGGGCTGTGTAGCAGATTCACGTAGTGTGAACGCTGTGGGAAGGGACAGCTAATGCAACGGACATGCACCCACGGGAAGGGGATTTATTGTTATTTTACTCAAAAAAAAAAAAAAAAGGTGCAGCTGCGGAGTCGTACCTGTTTGAGAAGAAAAACACCCAAGGAAGCTTTCTATAAATATACCCACGCGTGAAGGTGTATACGCGGGGTATGAGAGGAAATGTGTGTGTGATGCTGCGGGGAGCTCCAGGCCTTCCCACGGACGGAGCTCCGCGACCAACTCGGCGTTCGTTTTTGCTAGGAGAGCCCCGGTGCGCCGCGGAAACTGCGCGTGGGGGCTGGAAAGCCTCACACGCGTAGGGCAACGCTTGGAGCGAGTACAACAGGGACATCCTTCCCTCTCTTCTCCGCCCTGTGAGGGTACACCGTGCACCTGTAGGAATGATCCCAAGCAGCGCCCGGGCTTCCACGTTTTCTTTTCCCGCTTGTGCTGGCATGGCCGCGCTTTCGACGGGACAGCCCCAAAGGAAGCGGCTGCTTCGGCTGCCCGGCCGCGCTCCGCGCTGCGCGTTTTTCACGGCACCTCCCGCAAGTGCCGCCGTTGGCGACCGCTGCACCGAGCACCCTTTCTCGGGCAGGCCGGTTCCCCCCAGGCTGCTCCCGAGCCTTTCCTATCACCTCACACCACTTCCATCAAGCTGCCGCTCCCGGGCGCAGCTAGAGCCACAGCCCCTAGTTCCGTGCTCAGCCACCTCCCCCCACTTTTAACAGGGGTGTCCCGTCTATAGAAAGTTAAAAAGCAAGAGATGAACTTTGAAAAGGTGTATTTCTTGTGTATCTCTCGCCTGTGTTTCTCACTCTTTGCTTACTTCCAGGCAGAAAGCTAAAATGATGAGAGTAATTGGTGGGTGGAAGATCCGAAACCAACGGGAAATGTATGGGCTCAACGACCTCTGGATAACCCGGGTACCTTGGCACAAAAAGCAAGAAAATATTTACTCACCTTGAAGTTTCTATTTTTTTAAAAGCTTTTTTATTTATTTTGTTTTTATTTCTTTAGTCATCTTTTGAGATGGTTCAAGTTCCCGTCTGAGGTTTAATTATAGTAAGCAGGAAAAGGGTGGAAGGGGAATGGGGTGATTCTAGGGAGAGTGGGTCAGAAACCAAAACACCCTAAACCCCTCGGATTGAGGTGGTGCGGGAGAAAAAGGCTTTCTGTGACTCATGCACACTCTGAAATGAAGATCTGAAAAACGCATTCAAGCCATGGCTTGACTGGTTTGAAAGCGATTCCAGCAATTAGGAATTAATTCGGCATGGTCAAAAGGCGATTTCACTGCAAGTTATATCAGTTATCCAAACTTTTTCAGAGTTCAAGTGGTGGAAATGGGCTGCTGGGGTGGAGGTAAGGCTGCAGAAAAGAAAACGAACGGGTGTTCAGGAAAGGCCAAAGAGGGGAAGCCGTGGAGGGGAGGTCTGAAGGGATGGCGAGCCCACGTTAGTGCCAGAGGTTTGCTGATGTTGTTGGAGGAGAGGGAGATTGGAGTGGAGGGCAGGGGATGCTTTGTTTCTCAAATGGGAGAAAGTACTAAAAACGTGTTGGAGGTTGTAGGTAATAGAAAGATGAGTCTTAATTAAAAAATTAAATCAGTGGGCTTGTTGCCTGGTTGATATTTCAGGTTCAGCATGACCCTTCTCTAATTAATGGCAGGATACAGAGTTAGTCCAGGCAGGGCTGACCCTGGGATGATCTGTGGAGAGAGAGGCACTGGGAGGATGTGGAGGGTGGAGGGAGGGATAAAACTGGGTTTGCACACATAGGCAGGCCAACAATAAAACCGTCACAGGGAGCCACGTCCTGGTGGCTCATGGCAGTGCTGCCCATGGGTTGTATCCCTGGCATGGGTCCTGTGATGCCTGCCCAGCCCAGCAAGGGATCAGGCATTGGGATTGTTCCTCATGAGCTCCACGTCAGCGTCTACCATCTCTCTCACCAGCTCCTGCAAGGAGGGAGAGAGACAGATCAGAGCCCCAGTGCAGGGGCAAACAGGCAGTACATCAGGAATGCCCCGGAGCATGACAAGCCCGCTGGCCCCCTCCAGCAGAAGGAGGAGGGAAAAGGGCTTTGCTGGGCTCTTCCCACAGCAGCCCTGGCCCTGTGTGTCAGTGCATTGCTTTGCACTGGGGTGCCCATCGCTGCCACACTGGCTGCTGTTTTCAAAGCAAGAACCCCTGCAGATTCACCGAAAATGGGGTTTCTCAGGGTGCCCAAGTTGCCCCACACAGAGGTCCCCCACTCCCTTCCCTCCCTGTGAATTGCTTTTAGAGGATGTGAACACCCAGCAGGCACAAAGCACTCCAGAAAGGCCACTCACATCAAACGTGACTCTTGGCTTCCAGTTCAGCTTTTGCCTCGCTTTGGTACAGTCGCCTTGCAGAAAGTCCTGTGGAAAAGAAGAGAGAGGTGCTGCAAGAACTGTTACCTTCCCCACCTTGATGGCCTCCGGCCTCCCGTTGCTCACGCTTCTCTGTGAGCCAAGCATGGCCAGGGCTGGACTCTTCAGAAGACAAAATATTTCTCTTCAAGATAAAATTTTAGTGGAAGCTCATATGCCTATTAATTCACCAGGAGGCAGCATCCTTTCACCAGGCTATTTCAGACTGAAACAGTTACTCTGTTTTTTGTGTGTGCACAGGGCTTGAACTCCAGCCTTATGGCCGTATAATGGTGAACATTTTGTAAGATGATGTTGTACGTCTTAGTCATGCTAGTGAATGAGCTGATTCAAATTCTTTTTTCCCCCATTTGTTTAAATAATGTAAATCACAGAGCAAACATGACAACTAGTCTCTTTCAAATAAAAACGTGATCACAGACAGATGATGCTGAAAGACTGTAATGGATATGGGTAACCATATGCAATAGTAGTAAATGCCCAGTTTTTGAATGCCTACATTTTTTTTAATATAGTATTTTGAGCATCCACATGCAAATAGAAGTCTAAATATCTCAAAAATGAAAAGAAATTATCTCAAAAGCATTACAGAAACAAAGACTTGGGTCATGTTCACTTTACTGTTCAAGTATCCTTAAAAGTGCTACCATACCAAAACAATCCCACAACCACTCATCAGAAATAATGTAACAAAATTAAACAAAGGCAAAAGCTCCTTTGACTGCATTTTTAATTGAATGTAAAAACTGACTGCATCTTTCTTTGAATTTCAAATAATGTGTTTAAACAGCTTTTTCCAACTGTATATGTTCATTTAATAAAATATATTCTTTTTCCTAACAGGCTGTGTTTTTCTGTAGCAACAAACACTAAAATCATATCTGTCTAGGTTTAAAGAAAACCAGACAGACCCAGCTTTGTTAGAGAACAACAAGGCTAAGACTGAATTCTCCTCTTGCACTTGACTTCGTGGTGGTAACACAGTAAGCTTTCCAGAAAAATGCATGGTCTGCCTTTCTCCTCCCTTTTCCACCCTCTGACCAGCAGTGGAGCTAAGGAGCATTTTCTGACTAGATTTTTTAACTCGTACTGCTGCAAGTTACATTTTTCAGATGCTGTCTTTTGTGCATATGCGGTTCAGGTCATGTTAAGTTCCAAAATCACCTCATCCTGTGCAGTAAAATGTAGGAAATTCTTCTCCATAATTTTGCTCCAAAAAGCTAGACAGCTTGCTTCCAGGAGCAGAGGAAATCCACCAAAGGAAATACTGCACTGAAGAAGGGGATGTGGAACAAACACGTCTGCCCAGACTTATTCCAGGCAGCATTTTTACTAGTTCAGTCTTCAGGCTAAAAAGCATTTCAGCCCGCCCTTAGAAAAGAATAAACAGATGGATCAGAACAAAATGATATGAAAATAAAATATGCCATGATTTCCTTAAATTAGACTAAATGATTTCCTACTGCAGCCCTATAATGGGCTTTTTGAAACTGCAGCAGACATTTGAGGCCAAGTCATGCAAAACCGCATCAACTTGAGGGATCCCCTGGAGGGTCGTGTGAATATGGATTGCAAAATCTGGTTTGAAATGGGAAAGACGCCTACTAACTTTGATAAAATTTGGATCAGACCCTAATGTGCTCATGGAGGTATGCCTTTTATCTGGAGTTCAGTTTAATTTACATACGTGTGTATTTATATGTGTCTGGAAACAAGGAAATCCTACTTAAAATAAAAATTTCAGTATAAAAACAATTGCCTTTTATTCAGTCCTAATTCAAGCCATTAGCTAGAAGTGAAGTGTTTTAATACCACCTAGTTTTAAGTCATAAAAGTCATATTGTAAAACTTAGATTTTAATTTTTATAAATGTTATGTGGGTAAACTTTTACATCCACAATCTCCATATTGAATACATTCTTTGAAATTGAGCCTTATTTAGGATACTGGCTTCCCATTTAAAAAATAATGGACTGTGAAGCATAGAATGAATTGTCATGGCCTGCTATATGTAGCTGCATTCTGCTTTTGAACAGCTTGGGAGCAGTCTTTTAACTTTCTTGGACAAATGCTTTTTGTTAAAACAGTTTATCTAAAGAAATGCTTTACCTAATTCCAGCCCTTCATTCAAAACCATAAACACTCATCTGCTGAATAGGCCAAAATAAGGGTGGGGGGAGGTTGCACATCAGTAAAAGTTATTTGCAGTGCTGGATTATACACAGAGATCACACAAACAACTAGTGTATTAAATAAATGTAGGTATAAAAAATAAATTTTTCCTTTAAACTTCCAGATGCTTTAACAGTGATGCAGTAAGGGTATTAGGGCATAATCTGGAGGGGGGGGGAAGAGAAAAAGAAATATTTAATATATATGATAATACGAATTCCCCAGCTGACTTGGGTTAAAAGATTAAAAATGGCTCTCTTGAAGAAGTTTGTGTATTTTTGAGAAATGCTAAACTTTGTTTGTTTACTTGAAAATAGCATAAAATATCTCCTAGGCACTTTTAAATAGGTTCACTTACAGAAGTTACTAGCTACAGAGATCAAATTAAACCATACTATTAACACCCTATTACACCTAAATTCAAGGTTTGATTGTATTCTTATTAGCCAAAGTTTCAACACGGAATGGAAATGATGACTGGATCAAAGCTATTCCTGATTAAAGGATTGTATTGCAGTCATGTTTCCTGTATTTTTCTACAAGTAGCTCATAATATGAAAACAATAAGGTAATTACAATAAAATAAGAATATTAAAAAAGCTTCTCTTGGAACAGAATGACTGCTTGTTTATATTATTTAAGTCTTTCACTGAAACCAGAGATGCATCTGTCAGGCTCCCAAAAGGAAAAAAATCCACAAAAAAACCACCACTCAAAAACTCCTTCAGTATGTTGATCATTAAAGTGTATTGATTTTTTCAGTGCCAGGGCATAATGTTCTGGAGGTGCAACCAAATCAGAAAGCAAAGAAAGAAGAGGTGAAGTTCCACTGGGGAAAATCTGGAGTTTTTGGGGGAGGAAGGGGGTGGTTTGGTGGGATGGGGAGTGGTTCTTGAAAAACAGCTGCTGCTGAGTATATATTACCCTATATCCCTGTTCCTGATGGAAAAGCACCTGATGAAATGACACCACTTCATATTTTGTATTCCTGCAGGATAACTTGTTCTGTGGCACTGTGCTTTACATACTGACAGGAAAACCCAGCCCTTTACTCCATGAAAACTCTGAGGATTTAGATACGGAGTTGAGAGTCTGCAACCTGAAAACATTGGTTAAGGCTTTCTGTTGTTTTTACAGCACTCAGATCATGAACATAACATTCTTTGCTTTTAGTTATCTGTTTTGTGAGGAACAAGCCCTTATTTCTCATGCAAATAGTTAACATAAGTAAATAGTAGTGACAAGTTTTACCTGCAAGCTAAGAGTCAGAAACAACATCTAGGGTAAATATTTAAAGGAAGGGAAGATGGAAAAGACAGCAGTCAGATTCTCTGTAGCCATCTGAGAGTAAATTCTCCTATGGCTTTATATGTAGCTCACTGTCATATGACTGTCTCTCGGAGAACAGAATGAGTTTATACCGTGTGAGTTTTTCTGTTCTACATTTTCTGTAAGTGAGGCTGTGTAACTATGTAGACAATATCCCATTATTACTAAATTTGCTTTTATGATTATTCAGTTTTATTGTCCAAATGCACACACAAAAATAGATAGAGATAAGCAGAGAGAAATTTGTTACACAATGCGGTAAGGCATTTTAAAACCATGAGACAAAAATGTAAAATATTTTAATGTAAATATCACATTTCCCAAGCTCTTGTTCTGAGTGTCATTGCAACTCCTATTATGTCTCGTGCAGTGATTGATCTGGTTTCACTGTGCAATGTATCACTGTCTCATTCAATTAACTTTGACTGAAAATTTAAAACCTCAAGACAATGTGAGAAAAAGGAGATAGTGTGACCTGAAAGAAGGCCAAGGCTTCCTTTATTACTACAGCTCAGCTGATTCCCTCTTGAATGTGCCTTCACTGAAGCCAGCACCCAGTGCCAGCTTTTGCTTTCTCTTACACCAGAATAAAACTGAGATCAAGACCTCAGTAAAACACCTGCGATGGAACTGTGCCCAGTTCCACTTGCTTTAGCAGAGACAAGGCTTTACCTTTAAAAATAAACAAACTCGATATAAGCACACAACAGTTTTACTGCATCTGAAAAGCGGCCAAGGTTACATTCACAATCAGCACAACCGCCTGGAAGATGATTTGTTACATCAGAGCTCCCATAAGCAAAGAGCACAGACTTGGTGGAGGCTCTGGCTTGCGTGTTTAGTCTTGCACTTTTTTGCTCAAGAAGTTCATCAGAAAGGATTTCAAGAGTCTAGGTACCAAAATTTCCTGTAAGCCCCACTTCTGTTTTAGTTCAACTAGACCAGTTGCTCGGATCCGCACCCAACCTGACCTCAAGTGTTTCCAGGGATGGGGCATCTTCCACCTCTCTTGGCAATCTGTTTCAAGGTTTCACCACTCTCATCATAAAAAGTTTCTTTCTTATACGTTGTCTAAATCTACCTTCTTTTAGTTTAAAACTATTGCCCTGTTAGTTTTTGTCCTATCACAACATGCCCTGTTAAAAACTTTTATTGTGGTAGTATATATATCAAAGTTTATCTTATGAAACAGTCTCCCCTTTTGTGTCCTTTTTGTAGCATTTTTCACAGCACTTTTTTTGAGGGTTCAAGTAGTATATCTCAGTAGCAACATCAGTAGTAATGTCACAGTACATATGGGCATCTGCTGCAGCTTATTGCTTGGAGAACAGCCTTGTTCAAGTTTTGGACATAATCAGGTGGCTGCATGCATTGCTCACTAGGCAGTTCTTTCACCATCAACCTTACCCCCATTCCCTAGGGTTCTGTCACACTTGCCACCAGGCCCAGGGACATCATGTCTTAACCCAGATGCAACCTTGGAGAAC